ATTCTGTGTACCAGGGAAGGGTGATGGAAAAGAGGCAGGACCTGATTGACTCAACTGTTTCTTGTACAAGGACACAATTGTTCCTTGTGCAGTTATAATCTGATGATTGTCCTGTGGCTGATTCTTGCTTTCTGTCTTAGTTTGTTCCAAGTCCCTGAGGCTTCCTTGGGAACATCTGTCTACCTATAGTTCTTAGACAGGGGATTCCTTTGTTGGTTCTCTGTGAGTCTTAATTCTGTTCGTGCATGTCATCTGAGATTTTCTCAAACTTTCTAGTTCAATTTTAGCCCTCTTTTTTGTTTCCAGTTATCATTTAATAAAAAGAACTTTTATTTTAGAGGCTGTAGAGGGATCAGAAAAGTGAGTGTCAAGTGTTTAGTCTGCAATCATTAAAGACAGAGAATATCTCATAAGTTTAGATCTGTGTTACTTACCTGATTATGATTTATGGACACTTTCTTTCCGTTTCCCTTTTATTTGTTCTTTTCCTTATTTATTTATTTTATTATTATTTTCAGAGACTCACTCTAAAAAAATAGGATCTCACTGTGTCCCTGAGGCTGGAATGGAACTACTGGTGCATGTCACCATGCCTGGCTAAATTAAAAACTTTTTTTTTTTTTTTGGTAGAGACAGGGTCTCACTTTGTTGGCCAGGCTGGTCTTGAACTCCTGGCCTTAGTGATCCTTCTATCTCATCCTCCTAAAGTGCTGGAGATTACAGATGTGAGCCACTTTACCCGGCCAAAGTTTTCATTTTTTAATATGATGTATAAGGTATATAGAAGTGCTTTTTTTTCTTTTGAGACAGAGTCTCACTCCGTCACCCAGGCTGGAGTGCAGTGGCACGATCTTGGCTCACTGCAACCTCCACCTCCCGGGTTCAAGCGATTCTCCTGCCTCAGCCTCCCGAGTAGCTGGGATTGCAGGCACCCACCACCACGCCCAGCTAATTTTTGTATTTTTTAGGAGAGATGGGGTTTCACCATGTTGGCTAGGCTGGCCTCGAACTTCTGACCTCAAGTGATCTGCCCACCTCGGCCTCCCAAAGTGCTGGGATTACAGGCGTGAGCCACCGCGCCCAGCAGTAGTGCTTCTAACTTCCCAAGTGTTTAGGCTTTTTGTTTTATATTTGTTATTTTTACTTTTCTCCTTTTACTACATCAAAATGAGTCCTTTATAATTTCTGCTTTAGGGAATTCTAATAATTTATCTTTGTGGTCTAATATAAAATCATTTTTAATGTATGCCATGAATGTAGTCAACTATTAATAATAATGTAGTAATAGTGACTTGCTCATTCAGCACAAATTGTCATGACACAATGGTAATTTCTGTGTCATGACATGTGGATTATCTCCTGATTCTTAGAACAGCATGAGGTACATATTATTTCCTGCTTGTTGTGCCTACCAGGCACATGAAAGATGAGTAATTATCCCAGGGTGCTGTCTGCCTTGCCCCCAATGGTGGGGTCAGGGCCAGGTCCAAGACTTTGAATTCCAGAGTCTTAGACAACATCCTATACAGCCTCCCACTGAGTAAGAGTAGTCTCTGTAGGATGTAGACTTTGGTAGATACATCTGTTAGTTTGACTTTGTAGTTTTATTTAGGATGCTCGAATGTGTGAATGTATTGATGAATGTATTCATTGTTACCTTCTCTCTCTGCTTGGAAGAGAAAAAAATTGAAGTATACCACTACTATGGGTTTACTTTTCATGCTTTGTTATTTGGTGTATAAAGATTCACACCAGGCTGGGCGCCGTGGCTCATGCCTATATCTCAGCATTTTGGGAGGCTGAGGCGGGTGGATCACGAGGTCAGGAGTTCAAGACCAGCCTGGCCAACATGGTGAAACCCTGTCTCTACTAAAAATACGAAAATTAGCTGGGCATGGTGGTGCGCACCTGTAATCCCAGCTACTGGGGAGGCTGAGGCAGGAGAATGACTTGAACCCAGGAAGCAGAGGGTGCAGTGAGCCGAGATCGTGCTACTCAGTACACTCCAGCCTGGGTAACAGAGCAAGGCTCCCTCTCAAAAAAAAAAAAAATCACGTTTTATTTCTTCTGTAGGTCATACGCTTTTTAGTTATTTATTTTATTTTATTTTTATTTTTATTTTTATTTTGAGACAGATTGCTATTGTAGCCCAGGCTGGTGTGCAATGACGCGATCTTGGCTCACTGCAACCTCTGCCTCCCAGGTTCAAGCAATTCTCCTGCCTCAGCCTCCTGAGTAGCTGGGATTATAGGCACACATCACCACGCCCGGCTAATTTTGTATTTTTAGTAGAGACGGGGTTTCTCCATGTTGGTCAGACTGGTCTCGAACTCCTGACCTCAAGTGATCTGCCCGCCTCAGCCTCCCAAAGTGCTGGGATTACAGGCCTGAGCCACCGTGCCTGGTGATGGTTTTTAGTTTAAAGGGAATCTTTTTCTCATGAGTTTAGCCTTGAATTCTACTGAGATTTACATTGGAAATCCTGTTTGCCTTTTGTTTGCCTTGTACAGCCATACTTTTATGCACTTTTTTCCTACTAATGTGTTTAGTTATTTTGCTTTTCGTGTTGATATATTTATTCAACAGACTGTCTCGGTGTTACAGTGGCAATGGGGATACAACCCTGCCTTCATGGATCTCCTGGGCTGATTGGGGGGACAGATAATAAGCAAGTAAATGAATGAATAAGTAACTACAGAAGTTTAGTTTTGCTCTAATGTGGTAGCCATTAACTTCATACGGGTTATTTAAATTAAAAATTGATAGTAGCTTACTCATTCAGCACATATTGTCAGACACAATGGTACTTTCTGCACATGGATTATCTCCTTTGATTCTTAGAACAACATGAGGTACGTATTGTTATTGGTCCTACTTACGAGGTAACCAGGACCAGGCACGTGAAAAATGAGTAATGACCCCAGGATACTGTCTCCCTCACCCTCAACTGTGGGGGTAATTTTTACATTAAAAATTAAGGCCAGATTCAATAGCTTACGCCTGTAATCCCAGCACTTTGGGAGGCTGAGGTGGGCAGATCACTTGAGCTCAGGAGTTCAAGACCATCCTGGACAACATGGCAAAACCCTGTTTCTACTAAAAATACAAAAATTAGCAGGGGTGGCGTCGCACACCTATAGTCCCTGCTACTTGGGAGGCTGAGTTGGGAGGATTGCTTGAGCCTGGGAGGCATTGCAGTGAGCGGAGGTTGTGCCATTGCACTCTAGCTTGGGTGACAGGGTGAGAACCTGTCTCAAAAAAAAAAAAAAAAAAATTAAATGTTTTGTTCCTTACTTGCATGTGTCGTATTTTATGTACTTGATAGTCATATGTCTAGTGGATACTGTATTGAGCAGTGCAGATGTGGGACATTTCTGTCAGGGCACGAAGGTTTGTTAGACAGTGCTGCCTTAGATGCTGTCATGGACATGGGTTGGTTCTGAGGTACAGTGTCAAGTCACTGGGGGCACCTGGAGTGGTGACCTGAGAAAACCTGAATTTTGAGAAGGAACCTGTATTGTGAGGGTGTTGTATATAGGGTACGTGATACTTGTATTTAGGATTTTGGTAAAAAGTGACTATTCATAAGCGATTTAAAGTTTCTGTTTTAAAAGTATGGGATTTTTAGGTAGTGTGTTTTCTCTTGTTCTAATAGGAATTGTTTTTGGTCATATTAGGGAAAATAATTGGCATGTTGATACATTTTTATTTTAGTTAAATAAATCTGGTCGCCAATATTTACTTTTATAAATTCAAAAATGGTTAAGTGTTTCGTAAGTATTTTGAGCTTGTCTTTGAAAAGAGATAGACAGATGCAGTGGCTCAAGCCTGTAATCCCAGAACTTTGGGAGGCTGAGATGGGAGGATTGTTTTTCAGGAGTTCAAGGCCAGCCTGGGCATCATAGCGAGACCCCATCTCTACAAAAAGTAAAAAAATTTAGCTGGGTGTGGTGGTGCACGCCTACAGTCCCAGCTCCTTAGGGGATTGAGGTGGGAGGAGGGCTTTTCCAATTGTCCTACAGATATTTTTCAAAATGACTACTTTTAAAGTATAATATTTTTATTCAGAGGTGGGATGCTAATTCTACAATTGCCCAGGACTTCTTTAATTTGTATATGTTAAGATATTTTAATGGTCAGTTTAAGAACTGTTGAAATTTATAAGAATCATTTCTGTATGTTAGAGTTGTGATAACGCAGACATTTTCCCTGTAGTACTTCTCTGAGTCTGATTTGTTTTCCTCCATGGGTACCACATAGGTTTATTTTAAGATGGTAAAAAATGAAAGCTGACTAAGGTACATACTGATTATCCCAGACAACATGCTGACATCACTAAATAAGAGTGCAGTTCTCTTCAACTCACTATTTGTTTCAATTAGAAAAAAACTAATCAAAACTAATTTTTCTGCATGAAATGTCTTTTCAAATCACACTGAATGTGATTTATTAATAGTAATTTATCAACTTCAGTTTTCTGCTGGATGCTAAAAGAACACCTCATTAAAACTAGTGTTTATGCAAATAGTACAATATTTTAAAAACTTTTGATTGTAAAAATTTCTGTTACACTGAATACATACAGATATGTTACTGTTCAGATATTATTTACTACTTGCGTAGAAACTCACTGATCTTCTAACAAGTAGAAAAGAGACCTTTAGCCAAATGCCTCTGTACTCAGCAATAAAAGGATTAATTACTGTTTTGCTCTTTTCTGGTTAAAGATTTTAAAAAATCTTATTTTTCCTTTTGCTATTAAACCACAACTTGTTTAAATTTTGTCACTATTGCAGTATTGCAGCGGACATTACAGTTCGTGTCTCCCTATGTATATGTTTCTCTGGGCTGTGTACATGTACGAGTGTGGGCCTGACCTGTCACATTCAATTTTTAATTTACAGTCTTATATCTAATGCTCATCATTGCATAATGTAACTAGCTGGGATTAGTTTCCTTGGTTCCTGAATCTTCAGAGCCTGTTTTCTCTCCATTTACAGACGGGCCAAGGTTGCTCGGGTGATTGGTTTACTGGCTTCGCACACAACTGAGCTCCAGGAAAATACTCCTGTTGTTGAGGTAAAGTCTTTTATTACTTAAATGTGATGAATGACAAGAAATACTGTTCTTGATTCTGTAATTTAGAACATGCAGCTTTCACTGATCTTCACTTGACTTTTCTCTGTGGGATTGTGGCAATCGTTCTAAAACTGTCACCTCAACAGACCTTTAGGCTTAAACGTAGCAGCACATTTACAACGTAGTCCATCATTAAAATGGCACAGCAGAGTTAACAAGGCTTGTGAACTCTGCTCATCATTCTTTCATTTGTTTTTGTATAAGGCTTTTTTCATTTCTAGTTTTCTTGTAGTCTGTCTAATAGACTAATGTATTTCCTAGTTAAAGCATAGCTTACAATTCAAAATTCAAATTCTTCTGGCCTTTCACCTTGAATTTAGTGTTTTCGTATGAAACATTACTTTCTACCTATTCTGTTAATGTATGTTACACTTAATTGGTAATGGAGTTTTATGGCTTCATCTGGGAAGAGGCTTAAGAGTCAGCATAGGTGAAAAGAACCAAGGCTTTTAGGGGCAACAGCAAGAGCTCCTGAAGGAAGTAAAGGGGTAAGGAGAGGGGATTTTGTAGAGTTGAAGCTGGGGTTGTGTGGTATTTGGGGCTTTGAGAGGAATTGGAAAAATTTCTGTCTTGTCCACTATAGTAGCCAATTGGTATTTGGAGCCTTAAGAAGAACTGGAAAATTTCCTCTCTGTGCCGTTCACTGCAGTAGCCAATTGTTGGGATAGTTTCCTAGCTGGCCTTATAGTGTCTGGGTGGAGATTAATTTAATTTCACTGTATTTCCCTTGCTTGCAATTCCATCTCTATTTCCTGCAAACTGTTGGATCGCTGAGCTGCTAGTAAAATGCTACTAAGTCTAAATTTTTCCTTTTTTTGTGGTGGGGCGGGGGGGACTAAAATAAATGAATTGTGACCTATATAATTACCAATGGTACCCAGCTTGGTTCTCAGAGATGTGACGAGTAGATTTTTATCTAAAAGATTGAGCATATAGGGCAGTATCACCAGGAAGATGAGAAGGCTTAGGATCTCAAAAATGGGAGTTCCTTCTGAGGGCTCAGAGCAAAAGGTCTCCAGTGAGATGGAGTAGCTGTAGGAGAAGGGAGAGAACTTAAAGTCCAAGACAAAGTCCCAGCATTTTAGAGGATATCCCTGCATCATCAGAGCAGGCATTTGTTGCTCAGGAGCTGTGAAGAAAGAGCCTCTGAATATGTAAAATATGACTGTTGAATTAACTTATTCAGTAGTTGGCAGTAATAAGTAGGATGGATACTTTAGGAAGCTGAGTTAGTGAATTTGAAGATCAGTTGGATGAATTCTCTTAGGATTCATAAAGAAAGAGGATAAAGATTATGAACTAAAAAGTCATGGATGATAGTTTCAGATTTGTTGAACTATCCAGTGTAGTAGCCACCAGCCACTATGGCTATTGAGTGCTTGAAGAAAAGCTAGTCTGCATTGAGATGACCAACTTACAGAAAAGAATAGTATGGCCACCCTGTGATTTCCAAACCCCATTGTTCTACTTTATTACTTTATCTTTTTCACACTATTTATCACCACCTGGCATTTTATGTATTTATTTCTCTTTCCACACTAGACTACAAGCTCCATTGGAAAAGGGATTTTGAACTGTCTTGTTCAACACTCCACCCCAGTGCCTAGACAGTGCCTTGTGTATATATAGATACTGACAAATATTTCAAAATAAATGAATAAAACTCTATCAGTATTCTTGGAACTCCCTGTAGCAGTGCCTGGAAGATGGTGTGTTTTGCTGTTGCAGGAATTCTCAAGGGACTGGGCAGAGGGCATGTGAAGTAACCTGGGACCTGCTGGTCACCCTGGGTGATGTGATGCCCTCATTCTTGCTGTTGCTGCTACTGCACTCCCACTTGGAGAGTTTGGCCCAGCAGTTCCTGAACCATATTTGTTACCTGTTCTCACTAGGGTTGAGTTCTTTGGCCAGTTTTTATTCTCAAAGTATTTCTCCTACTCCAGTTGTACTTTGTTGACATTGTATTCCTGGTGCTGCCTCAACTGAGAGGAAAGGGTGGGTGTTAACTCCCGAGGTTCTTGTATCTTTTATTCCAGTACTGTTCTCTTCATGGGTGTTTGCTGATGCTTTATTAGTTTGAAATGCAAGAACTTAGGGAAAATCATACTTATTTCATTAAAAAAAATGGCATATACTGAACTATCTGGTGAACTGTTTTGAATTACACATACTGTATTGTGAACTACATTTGGTTGGATAATAGCTTGTATAATAACTTGAAATTGAGCGAAGTGCTCCTTTGTGATGCCATCTTAATTTTTGTTATTTCTCAACACTTTTTAGTTATTTCATTGCTTTCAATGGCAAAAATTGTAATCACTTTTCCACGAACCTAATTCCTGCTGTGAGCAGTTGGCTGTGATAATTTAAGTAGCCACTAGAGGTCATTCAAGCACTAGGAAAAAAATTGTGCAAGTTTGAAGAATTTATGTTTCAGTTTCCAGAAGCAGGATCTGTGGAAGCTGAGCAAGTACATGGTACCATGTTTCATCTTTTTCTTGTTTTTTTTTTTTTTTTTTTTTTTACGTTTCTGCTACAGGATGTGTGGCTCCATTCCACTGGTGATTTTTTACCATTTGAGATGAATAAGATAAATGAAAACCATTATAGCCTCTCCAGAAAAATACCGTCAACACTTAGCACATGATTTTAGGGGATCTGGGAACCCTGTGGAGTGAACCTTTGGTTCATAACTCTTGAGACCAGGTTTCTGTATAACTCACAACTGGGTGCTTGTAGATAATTTTTCAATAATCAGTAACAAAATTTCAAGCGTGAGATGAATCCTGAGTTCTCTATTAGGGTTACTCTTAGTGAACAAGAAAAATTGTGGTTGTAGATCCTATTAGCATTTTATTTTTTACTTTATTTATTTATTTATTTATTTTTTGAGACAGAGTCTCGCTTTGTTGCCCAGGCTGTAATGTAGTGGTATGATCTCGGCTCACTGCAACCTCTGCCTCCCGGGTTCAAGGGATTCTCAGCCTCTGCCTCACGAGTAGCTGGGACCGCAGGTTCATGCCACCACACTCCTTCTAATTTTTGTATTTTTAGTAGAAACATGGTTTCGCCATGGTCTTGAACTCCTGGCCTCAAGTGATCCACTTGCCTTGGCTTCCCAAAGTGCTGGGATTACAGGCGTGAGCCACTGCACCTGGCCCATATAAGCATTTTAAAGGCATAGAACCTCATTTTGTTACTCATCTTTGTACCCCACAGTGCCGAGCCAGCAAAGTAATGTGTATTGTAGGCACTCAGTCAATGCTGAAGAGTTTAATGAATGATTAAAAGAATGTCAGAAGAGTATGATGGTATAATTTGTTACAAAGAGACAGAGAAAATGGAGCAAAAATCTATTTTACTATCCCTGTAATATAATTTAAATCTCTTTCATCTTATTCTCTCATCAACAGCTACAGAAAATAACAGTCATGATCTCCTTTATGCATTTAGAAGCATTTATTGACATTTGTATCTTTTTCACAGAAAAATACAACCATCTGAAGCTTATTTTCCTAGATAACACATTTACCACTCTGTAATCATTGTGGTTTCTATGTGTAATAATTTAAAAAAATATTTCTGATACTAAGCCAACATATTTAGTCTGAAGCATGCAGTGGATATATTTTGGGAAATTTAATATAGACCCATCAAATTCTAGAACTGAAAGGAATTTTTTTTGTGACCGAGTCTTACTCTGCCGCCCAGGCTGGAGTTCAGTGGCGCGATCTTGGCTCACTGTAACCTCTGTCACTGAGGTTCAAGCGATTCTCCTGCCTCAGCCTCCTGAGTAGCTGGGATTACAGGCATGCACCACCACACCCAGCTAATTTATTTTGTATTTTTAGTAGAGACAGGGTTTCACCACGTTGGCCAGGCTGATCTCGAACTCTTGATCTCAAATAATCCACCCGCCTCAGCCTCCCAAAGTGCTGGGATGACAGGCGTGAACCATCACTCCTGGTCAAAAGGAATGTTAATAGACATTTTAGGTTAACCCATTCATTAAATTTCTTTATTATCAGCTGGGCATGGTGACTCATGGCTGTAATCCCCGTACTTTGGGAGGCTGAGATGGGAGGATAACTTGAGCCTAGGAGTTTGAGACCAGCCTGGCCAACATAAGGAGACCCTGTCTCTAGGAAAAATAGAAACAGTTTGGCGTGGTGGTGCGCATCTGTGATCCCAGCTACTCAGGAGGCTGAGACATGACCCTGGGAGGTTGAGGCTGCAATGGGCTTGGGCTACTATGCTATTGCACTCCAGCCTGTGCAACAGAGCAAGACCCTGTCTCAAAAAAATTTTTTTTTTTATTATGGAAAGTTTCAACATATATAGAAGTAGAGAGAATAGAATAATGAGGTAGCATCATTCCCTTCCAGCAATCAACACTGACTAATCTTGTTTCATCTTGTCTCCTGCTTTCATTCCCCCTTTCCCTTTTTCTCTCCCTCTCTCTTTCTTGCTGGAGTATTTTAAATAAAATAGTATCATTTTGCTAGTAAATATATTTTTCTAGCAGACAAGGATTAGAAAAATATATAACCGTGATTTCATTATCACACCCAATACATTCAACAGTAGTCTCTGAGTATCATCTAATACCCAGTTAGTGTTCAGATTTTCTTGGTGGTTTCATACATGTCATTTTGTAATTTCTCTTTGAGCCAGGGTTGTGTTTAGATAATGTGACCCTTAAGTCTCTTAATTCCTGGTCTCTTATTTTTTGGTGTCATTTATTTGTTACAGACAAATTTTCCCTTGTCTTGGCCCAAATTGGAATATCAGAAGCTTTATTGTACCCTTTTGGTATTATTTAACATAGTCCTTTATCACCTGCCTTTCCTTTCTTGCACACAGCTGCTTAGATGTGGACCCTTGATTCAGTACTTTTATGGGGGGGATAGCTTGGGGAAACAGGAATTTGTCATAGTTGG